CGGGCAGGGGGAGGTGGGACGGAGGAAGGAGCCAGGGTCGGTGGAAGGGAGCCCTGGGCTGTGTCCAGGGCTGTGTCCAGGGCTGTGCAGGAGAAGGGCAGCAGAGCCTGTACAGAGCTCGTTGGGTGTCAGGGCACCCTCCGTGTCCCCTGCTTTGGAGAGTGGAGGATATGCCTCAAAGTGTCTCCCCCAGAGGTGTTTGGGCACTGAACAGCTCCCCAGGGCAGTGGTCACAGCCCCAAGGCTGACAGAGCTCAGGGAGTGTTTGGCCAATGCTCTCAGGCCCAGGGTGGATTGTTGGGGTGTCTGTGCAGGGCAGGGGTTGGACTGGTGATCCTTGGGCTTCAGCTCAGGATATGCTGTGATTCTGTGACAATGCAAACTGCCCACCCTGCCGCAGGGGAGAGCAGGGCCGACCGACTGATGGGCAAGCAAGGCAGCGTGGCAAGGCAAGCCGGGCAGGGCTGCGTAGGGCTGGGCAGGGAGAAAGTAGGGCACAGGTAAGAGTCAAGGGACACGTATGGACAGGCAGGGAGAAGGTAGGGCAGAGAGGACAGGTAGGGCAAAGGCAGAGCACAGGAAGGGGCCTGAACATTCTGTGATAATGCAAAACAGGGGCTTGGGGGAGAGCACAACCCCAGCGAGGGATGTCCATGCCAGCAAGAGGCAGTGAGAGGCAGGGAGGTGAGGAAAGGATCACAACTCCCTGTCTATCCTGTGCTCGTTCGTCCTGTCCAGCCCTGCCTGACTCCACACTGACTCTGAGCACCTGAAATGCCCAGGGAAGGGGATGTGGCTGTGTGTGAGTGCAGCAGGTCCTGCCAGTCAGAGCAGTGGGAGAACATTGCAAACCAGGCTTGGAGGTGTTTGTTCAGACTGCTGTGAGGCACCTGGGAGATCTGTCTCAAAAGGGGCTGTTCAGCTTTAGGAGTGGGAGGGACCTCTGCAGTGGAGCATGTTCTCTCCTTAATAGCACTTACAGGCAGTAAAAGCTTTATTTTGCCTGGTGATTGTATGTTTGCTTTTCTTCTGACAGTGCTACCTCAGCCTGCAATCTGCTGTAACCTCCAGGCACAGTTTGCAGGGCTGTTGCCTGTCCCTGCAGATGGTTCCTGCTTAGATGTAGTTATTGGTCCCTGTGACCTCATGTTGAATTTTCTTTTTCCCTCAATTTCCCCCAGTTCTTTGACATGACTTTGAATGCTGATCTCCCTCTCCAGAGGGCTAGTGTGAGCCCAGCATCATCCACAAATGCTGTGTGTTAGTGCATACACAGACGTGTGTCTGGGACACTTTGGAGCAGCCCTGGATCACTGCCTGACTGGAGGCATTCCCCTGTGTCAGGGTAATGACAGCTGTGCCAACAGCTGTGCTCCACTCCTGTGATCAGATGGTGCCCTCAGATGGCACAGTGCTGATCCTGGCAGTACTTCCAGGCAGCTCTAGAGTCTGTGACAGAGGGAGCTTCCCTTCCACACCCTTGGGCAGGGGTTGTAAGGTAAAGCGAATCACATAACCACAGAATATCCTGAGCTGGAAGGGACCCCAAGAATCCTCAGTCCAACTCCTGCCCTGCACAGGTCACCCCAATAATCCACCCTGTGCATTGGCCAAATGCTCCTTCAGCTCTGGCAGGCAGTGGAGCTCATTTTCCCTGTGAGCAGGTGCCTTGGCCAGACAACATAGCACTGGTTTCTGCCCCCAGAAGCTTCAGCTTTCTCTTCTAGAAGGCACATAGAGAAGTCAACAAGTGACTCTGCCTTGCTCATGGCTGTAAGCACAGGCTCTGTTAGTCCTAGACAGTGACTGTGCTGCTTCTCTTTTTGTAGAGATGACACTCCCCATGTCCCCAACGAGCAGCTTGGAGAAGAAAAAGTTCTGCACATAATAGGAAATCTGACTGCTCTGATAAAAGAGACATTTCCAGGTAGGATTTGAGGGGTGAGAACAAGTGAGGGGCACAGAGAGTCAGGGGAAGGGCTTACCAGGGTGGAGAAATACAGTTGGGACAGGGAAAAGCACAGAAGGGCTGAGGTCACTGGGACTTGTTAGTTCTCTTCCCAGTGACCTCAATTCCAGTGTGCCTTGTTCCATGCAGCATTGATGCACACTCACATTCCAGGTGAGCTTACTCAGAAGAGAGGAAATCAAAGCCTTCTGTAATTAGTCATTAAGGCAGAAAAAGCTGCAAGATTCTCTCACACCTAACCCATGTCAGCAGGGGGAAGGAGCGTTGTGGATGGTGACAGCTCAGTGACATGGCTGTGGAGCTGTGGGGCTGGGGTGGCTGGTCCTAAGGAGGGGCAGTTTTGTTGTACTCCTGGTCAGTGCAGCCCCAGGGCTGTGAGTGCATTGGGGAGCTCTGAGGGGCTCTGCAGCACTGACCTCCCTCGTCCTGTCTCCAGGTACTAAAGTCTACGCGGCGATGGGCAATCATGACTTCCACCCCAAGAATCAGTTTCCTGGGAAGGAGCACAGGATCTACACCCAAACAGCAGAACTGTGGCGGCCCTGGCTGAATGATGCCTCTGTTCCTCTCTTCAGGGCAGGTCTGGCACCACTGGCTCACATTGGCAGCCCTCTGGGGAGATGGGGAGGGGTAGGAGAATACCATGGACAGTCTTCCTTACCTCTCTGCTCAGAGCAACAGTATTTATAGAGGATTTGCAGAGGAAAGGTTGAATTCTAGTATAGAGTTCTCCTGCTTGTCAGAAGAGACATTTCTTTAGTCTCTCCTGCCATCATCAAGCTGCTGGAAAGAATGCAGTGGTGAGCTGCAGAGGAAGGAAAAGCACCTGTAAAGGCAGCAGCTGATGCAGGCAGTGCTGTGGCTGCTCCTGATGCTGCCCACTGTCCCCGTGCAGGTGTCCCCTCACCAGGACAGGCACAAGCATGACAAGAGGCACACGGGCAAGAGTCACTCCAAATCCCCATCCTGAGGTGGTCAAGAGCACTCCTGGTGCCTGGCCCAGGCAGTGACCCTGCTGTGGCTATGGCTAAGGAGAGTGGAGAGATCTGCGCTCACAGCCACCAGCCTGACCAGACCTGCAGCTCTTTACCTGTTGGTTGCATTTTTCAGGAGCTTTCTACAGTGAGAAGCTGCCAGGCCCAGGGACCAGGGGACGGGTGATTGTCCTCAATACCAACCTCTACTACAACCAGAACAACGAGACAGCTGCTGAGGAGGATCCTGGGGGGCAGTTCCAGTGGCTGGAAGAAACACTCACCAACGCCTCTAGAGCAAATGAAATGGTATTAAGAGAAATGAGCAAAGAACCTTTGTGGAAGGCTTCTCCCAGCCTGGAGGCTCTTCCTGCTCCTGCTCTGCCCTTGGAGCAGCTGCAGCCAGATGGTGCTCCGTGGGCAGTGTGGGCTCTGGGCTCAGGGCAGCTCCTGCTCCTGTAGGTGTACATCGTGGGACATGTCCCTCCTGGCTTCTTCGAGAAAAAACGAGGCAAGGCCTGGTTCCGGGAGGGCTTCAATGAGCACTACCTGGAGCTGGTGCGGCGGCACCACGGGGTGATCGCTGCCCAGTTCTTCGGGCACCACCACACTGACAGCTTTCGCATGCTTTACAGCCATACAGGTGGGGTTCTCACACAGCAGCCCTTGTGTGGCACTCTGTCAGCTCCCAGAATCACTGGCCATGAGAGCTTTCAGTGGCTGTTGGCTGGAGGCAGCTGAGAAGTCAGCAAAGGCTTGTGAAATGCTCTGGGCAAAAAGAGACAACAGTAGTTCTGATCTCCACCCCCAGCCTGTAGCTTCTGCCCTCCTTCCTGGTCACCTCAAACTCTTTCCTTTCAATTCCTGTCAGCTTTTTGCCCATTTCCTGTTGTGGGGTTTGGGCATCACTGAGATGTGAGGGAGCAGTGCTAAATCTCAGGGTCGGGGTTGGGAGATGCTCTGGGTCTCCTTTGCTGAGTGTGGTTCCCTGCCACCCTCAGTGCAGGAGTCCTCCCCAGCAGTGGAAAGCCCATTCCCAGCTGCAGCAGTCACACGTTCAGTCCCTGATGCCATTCCCTCTGGTGATCTGTGTGTGTGCACAGTTGTACCAGGGGCTGCTGACCAAGCTGCCGTGGGCAGTGTGATCAACTCTGGCTGCTCACTGTGATGGGGACAGGGTGTGGGACAAGCCAAGGTCTCCACTCATGGGTTGTTTTGCCTTGCTGTGAAGGTTCTCCAATCAATGTCATGTTCCTGGCACCTGGAGTGACTCCCTGGAAAACAACATTACCTGGAGTGACCAATGGAGCAAACAACCCCGGGATCCGGGTGATCGACTACGATCCAGACACCCTTCAGGTGTTGGTAGGGGATCCCTGTGTGCTGCACACTGCAGCTCTGAAAGAGAACTTGAATTCCTCCCTTTGGCTGGAACAGGCAGGACTGCAGGAGCTGAGGGGCTGTGTGGGAGAGGACCCTGACCCAGGATATTTCAGCCTTGTGTCTGCACAAAGATTTAGTCAGTGTCAGTGATTCGAGGCACAGCCCCTGCAGCCAGTGCATCCTGCTGGGATGAGTCCCCAGAGCAGGGCCAGGCAGGTTTTGTCATGTTCTTCATGTCCTTAGCAAGTTTCCTTTGACACTTGCTTTGCTCCACAGATTATGTGGATTACAGCACTCCTCTCTGAGTAATAACAGGCTTGTCAGAGCCCCTCCAAAAACTTTAAACCATCTGGAAAATTTTTTGGGTCCTTCTACTTGCTAAACCAATGCATTTGGAATGGATCTGAACAGAGGTGAACTGTAGGGCAGCTGCTGTTTCCTCGTTTGCCAAGATGGGACTTGTGCCTTCCTTTGCAGTGGGTGAAGCTCTCTGTAGTTGCTCTGTTTATGTGTTTATAGCATGAGAAGTGAATGCTGAAATATGCCATGCAAGGCTGGGGAGCCAGTGAAGCACAGAGAAAAAGGACAAGAACTGAGAACAGAAGGTGTGCAAAACTTCAGTCTGTTCTCAGCTGAGAAAAATCTCTTTGCTCACTCAGCAGCACTCCTGCAGCCCTTGCTGCTGCCAGAGGACAGTGTTGGTAGTAACCAACTGATGTTTGAAGCAGGCCAGGCCCAAAGTGTCTGATGTCTGGAGGTAAAAGTGAAGCAGAAACCTCTGTAGGAAGCCCTGTTGGAGGCAGCTGAGCTCCCGGGGAGGGATGTGCTGCCTGCAGGGAGTGTTGTGTGTGTGGTGCTGCAGCAGTGCCTGGGAGCAGTGTCTCACTGCAGGGCCAATCCTGTCGTTATGAGTTCCCAATCTGTTTTTCTCCCTCTCAGGACATGGTGACTTACTACTTGAACCTCACTCGTGCCAACACGATGGGCTCACGGGGGGAGGAAGAGTCCCCGGTGTGGGAGGAGGAGTACAGGCTGACTGAAGCCTTCCAGGTGCCCGATGGCTCCGCGCGCTCCATGCACGAAGTGTTGGAGAGGCTCTCAGAGGACACACACTACCTGCAGCAGTACTATGAGTTCAACTCTGCCAAGTACGACCTGGCCCCATGCAAGCAGAGCTGCCGTGTGGATCACCTTTGTGCCATCAGGGAGGTCGATTTTGCCAAGTATGAGGAGTGTGTTGAATCCAGCAGCTCTGGCTCTGCCACCAGCAGCCTTTGGCTTTTGGTTTTCTGCATGTCCCTAGGACTGCTCAGGCCCTAGTGAGTGCTGTGAGGGCCAAGAGAGGAGAGAAGGAGGAGAGCACGAGCTCACACTGCACGTGAATCAGAGATTTTGACATTGAGAACTCCCTCAGAAACAAGACAAAATCGTCAGTGTTTACTAAAAGCTCTGTGGTGCTAATTGGCAGTTTTCTAGACCAGTTTGATGTGTGAGGGAAGGGCAGTGATCGTGGGAGCCTTGTTGTGCCAGGCTGGCTGCACTGAAGAGTCTGTCCCTGCTCCACTGGCACTGGTGACTGACTCGCAAACTGGATGAAGACCAGGACTCCCTGTGGACATGAACTGCCCCTGGGTGAGAGCTGTGAGCTGCCACATGTTCCTGGAGGCTGCTGCCAGCATTTGTCATTGTTTGCACACTCTTCTCTTCTGGAGAGACCACACAGCTGGCCCAGGTGTTGTGGTGGCCTTGTACCGCAGCAGCTGCTGAGTTCTGAGCAGAGCCATGTGGGGTGGCAGTGTCTGGACTTCAGCAGGTTTTGGTGCCCAAGATGAGGCACTGATGATTTTTTCCCTCCAATTTCTGAACGTAAATAGCTTTTCTGTGCTCTCTTCATTCTCATCCTTTGAGTTCCCTCCCTCAGCTGGGCATGGCAGCCTGACATGGGAGAAATGAGGTGGGGATTTACAGCCTTGGGCTTTGCCAGCTGCTCTGAGACCATTGAGGGCACCAGTACAAAGTGCTGGATGAAGCACAACAGCAGGTGCTGTCTGTGAGGGCAGCTCTGGGCTCTGCCAGGAGTCTGACCCAGAGCTCCAGAGACAGCACACACAGCCTGAGCAGCCCGTGGTGGCCGTGGCTTCGCCCCTGGCATGGCCAGAGCGTGCGGAGCGATGCTGTGGGTGTGCCCAGGTGTGCCCAGGTGTCACAGGCTGTGCTGGCGCTGCAGGAACAGCCGAGACCCCCGTGAGCTCCCCACCCCCCTGGCTGCAGGGCTGGCAGCCCCTGTCCCCTCCAGCTCCGTGTCACCAGAGCTCCCGGGAGCGAAGCAGATCTGAGGGAACGGTGGAAGACAGGTGGAAGCTGTGGGTTGGTGCCTGTTCTGAGCCATTTGCAGCAGGATGACTGAGCTGGCAGGTCCCAGCGTGGCAGCTTTGGGCCCTGTTGACCCCCAGGCTTGTTCTGGAGCAGCAGAGAGGGGAGCATGGGCTGGGGGGAACACACAAGTCCAGCGCTGCAGGGCTCGGGGCGGCTCTGCCCCAGCTGGGGCTGCCCCGGGGGCACAGGGCAGAGAGGTGCTGGGGTGACACTGCTTCGTGGTGGAGCTGCTGGTCCGGGACCAGTGTGCCCACATCTTTCCTGTGCCCTGGCAGTAGTTAAGCTTTAGTGTTTGAGGCTTCCTCCTCTTCTACCATTCTGTCACTGTGTTTGAAATCTTTGCCAGATTCTCTGACAAGACAGACAGCAAGGGTGATTGATGTGTAAAGGTGATCAGCAGAGATTTGGGCTCTTTAGCTGCTTCTCTCTCAAAGCTTCTCTGAGGAGGGCATTGATTCTCGAAAATTCATACAAAGCAAAAGACAATAACCAAATCCTCCACCAATGCTGCTGCTCTCCTCTGCAGGAGGCAGGGGAAGCATCGTGGTTAGTCTCAGGCACTGATGTGGTGTTAGATACCTCTTAGTGCCCTACTGGTTCCAGGACCTTAAGGGAAGGGTCATTTGAGGACTGTGACCCAAACCCAGTGGCTGTTGATCCTGAACCTGCCCCAGTTTGACCTCACTCTCTCCCTCTTGCTCCAGTATTGCCTCTCCCACACTGAGTAGGTGGGCTGAAGAGCTGTACCTGGTGTTGGGAAGTGAAAGCAGAAACACTTTTCTCCCTTCACCTACCACTGCTAGACTGAGCATTTTGAGATCAAAGAACCTGCAGATTCCCTGGCTATATCAGCCTTCTTTTGAAAAAAATCCTGAACATCACTTGACTTCTGAACCCAGCAACAGCCACTGCACAGCCCCAGGTCCTTGGCTTGGCCGTGTCTTCCAGTCCAGCCCTATCCTATGGTCTCTCCCTGTGCCAAAGGTTTTGAAGCTCTTGGTGTATTTGCAGCAGCACACACTTCCCCTGGCACAATCAGCTGTTCTGTGCTGGAAGCTATTCCTGCTCTCCTGAAGCAGCCTAGGGAGGTCAGCTGCTCTCCAATTCCTGCTCTCAGGGTACACACAGTGGTCCCCCCCTGCACAGCCCCTGGGAATGCACCACCTGTCAGCTCCTCTGGAGCTGCCACTGGGTGCTACACTCCTGTATTTCCAAGCCAAAAGAGAGGGGTGGGGTTACAGTGACAACCCAGGGAGTGCTGCAAGGACAGATGTTCCTGGAAAACACTACCATCTCCTTTAGCTCAGTCACCGATTCAGCTGCAAACTTGTCTCCCGTTCCCATCTCTGCACTGCACCCTGCAGAAGGTTTCAAATTACTATGCAAATTACCTCATTTTTAATCCTTCATTTCATACAGGAGATGAGCTGCTCAGTCCACCCACACTGCCAGTGTCACACCACACAGCCCTTGTTCCTGGAAAACACTACCATCTCCTTTAGCTCAGTCACCGATTCAGCTGCAAACTTGTCTCCCGTTCCCATCTCTGCACTGCACCCTGCAGAAGGTTTCAAATTACTATGCAAATTACCTCATTTTTAATCCTTCATTTCATACAGGAGATGAGCTGCTCAGTCCACCCACACTGCCAGTGTCACACCACACAGCCCTTCACCTGCATCCCTCCCCCGGCCCCAGCCTGTGGCTGGTGAGCAGCTTGCAGGGAGCTGTGACCCATGAACCTTGTGCTGACACACCGGTGTGACCCTGCCCCAGCTGCTGCTGGATTGAGAAAATACTTCTCTATAGCCTAAACATTGCTGGATGCAGCAAAGCTGGGGAGTCCCTCTCAGCCCTACATCACTGCCCTGTGGTTATCTAACCAACTGTGTTTGCTGTTGGCCACTGCAGCTGTCCCCAGCAAGCCCAGGGCAGGCTGCAGACCCAGTGTGACAGAGGACAGTGCACAGAGCCTGCCCAAGGCCATGCTGTCAGAGCAGGGTGGACAGAGAGGAGCAGAGTTGGGCTCTGGAGTACAACTTACAGAGAGGATTATACAGAACCAGATAAAACTCAGCTTGGAAAACAAAGCAACCACTTTTCAAAATCGACTGCTAAGTGTCACTCGTGTGCCAAAGTGCAGCAGAAGGCAGCAGAGCAGGTCACGAGCACAGCAACTGTGGCAGCTTTAGGAGCTGCAGCCCAAGGACAAGGCCTGCAGGGAGAAGGGCACTTTGCCTTGGCTCAGCTGCACCAGTGCTGAAACAAACACACTACACAACTCCAAACTGGCAAAATCTGCATTTAATTTACAACATAGTAAAGGTTACAGGTAAAAAGCTCAACAGAAGTGTGAAAAGGCCTATTACATATTACACAAGTGTACAAAGGTCTGTACAAAGCCCCTCGGTGTTCCTGTCCCCTCCTGGCCAGCTGTGGTCCCCAAGCTCTGCAACAATGAGAGCTGGTTCAGAGCCAGGGAGGAGAAGAGCTTGGAAAAACAACGAGCAGTGAAGCTTCCCTTGTCAAGAAAAATCTTGCAAAGAGCCACTTGCAAAAAAATCCCCAAACCCCACCCCCAAATGGACACACGCCCCCCAAACAGAACAGAAAAAGAAGAAAACCTGTTCAGCTCTGTTTGCTCTGACTAGTCTTACCCTAGAGTTGCCTTCAGAGAGCAGAATGGCTGGGAAGGAAAATCCTACAGGCCAGGGGAGAAAGAGTTTGAGTCCCTGTGGGAATGCTGGGAAGCAGAATGAACACCTGAGGGCTGAACCATTGATGGCAACTGAACAGAGCAGCACAGCTGGATCAGGGAGCAGGTGCTGAATCCACCTGTGGAACAGTCTGAGCTGGATACAGTGGTGCAGGGAGGGAACAGAGCAGTCTCCAAAGCCATTGCTCTTAGGAGTGGGGCAGCTGCCAGCTCAGGTCTGCCTTGGGGATGTGATGGAAGCAACCCCTGTGGAGCAGAACTAACATCGACGTTGGAGCGTCTGTCCCAAACAGGTCTGGTGCACAGAGCACCCCAGTGGCACTGGAACACAGTACTCACCCAGCACTACCCAGCACCCCAGCTGCACTGAACACAGCACTGATCCAACCCTACCTCCTCAGCCAGCTCCAACTTTGCACACAGTGACCAGCCAGGCTGACTCTCACTCTGGTGCACATTTCCTGGATAATCCCCCAGACACCAAAACTGAAACGTGTACAAAACTTCAGAGTAAATTTAAGAACACCTTACCTTGTGTCAAGTACAGCCACAGTGAACACATGTGAATCGTTGTCAAATCTGAACCCAAGAAGCACTGAGCAACATTGCAAGTCAAACTTCTCATCTTATTCCATGGGAAAAAGTGATGAAGACATAAAAAAAGTGATATTATGAAACCAGCTCGTGCACTGCTTTATTGTCTCTGAGAATTCCTGGCCTGGCTCTCAGGACCACTTGATCCTCATCTGCTGTTCCCAGCAGTCAAAGATTGTGCAGACTGGTGGCCGAGGTGTGGAACAGGCCAGTCCTGACTGCCAACAGCTGCTCAGCTCGGGCTTGGTGCATCTCACATACTCTGAGCTCCCAAGTTCCATTGGCAAATAATGAGTTACAGGGGCCACCAAGAAACTGTTCTCTGTGCTCACTGCACCCTGAGCTATCACAGGGGAGGCACCAGAGCTGTTGTTTCTTGCTTGCACAGGGCAAGCAGTGCCTGTCCACTCGCTCCAACCCTCCAGGTCTGCACCCTATTCACCCCACAGCACCCACCCCACAACTCTGCACCAAGGAATCCTCCCACTGCTTGTCCCTGTCAGCTCAGGACTCATGGCATGCTCTAGTGTTTTATGTGGAAATTAAAACAAGCTGTAGCCAAACTAAAACCAATAATAAAAAAGAGAATGTCCCACACTGGTGAGGTTTGCAAATATAAAAAATAAAAGGTAACCTATATTCCGCAGGTTTTACAACTCCTCCCAACAGGATTCAGCAAGGCTTGGCCCCACACACATTCCACCCTGCTGTGAGGACACCCAGCAGGAACAGTGTCACCCACAGTGAGCCTGGCCCGAATCACAGACCTGCAGGGTCATGCCAGAAGTGAGGATCGAATTGTGTCACAGATCCAAACTGAGTGTCAAGGCCCCTGGGGACAGCGACAGCTAAGAAGAGTCTTCCAGGGAATTTGGTTCAAAGGGAGATGGGAGCTGTATTTTCTTTTTTAAACAGACATATAAAAATGTTTGAAGACAGATCTTTAAAGGGCATTTCGCTTCTCCAATTTTGGTATTACATCTGGTTAGGACACTGAAGTTTTAAAAAGACGACAGCACATGAACAGTTTGTGGAGCTGTGCCTCCGCCCTCGGCTCAGATCAGCAGAGACGGCGTCGGCTTCTTGCCCGGCCAGGCCTCCTTGGCGTATTTCTTCTTCTTGGGCTCGTTCACAGCTTCAGGGTTGAAGACGGCAGGGTTTGGAGCTGGGGTCATGCTCACCGTGGAGGGCACAACCGGCGTCAAGTCCACGTCGGGGGCGAGGTTGGGGTAGGGCATGGGCAGCCCCCCGATGAGCGCCG